GTGTAGCTGTTGCAGCTCGGAGGCGAACACCAGACTATCTGGCCACCTTGCTTCTTTCGATTTCACGTTGACATTTGTATTAAAGCCAACTGTTTTAAATGATTATTTTAAAGACAATGGCATAGAAAAAGTTGCAGAGGGGCAGTCTCAGAGTCTCATGACAAGCATTCATATTTGGTGTGACAAGGTGTTTTGGAAGGGTCATCATTTTCCCCCTTCACTGTGTCACTGTGCACCAGCAGCTGTACATGTCTGGTCTCTCTGCACAGCTGCCAGGGCTGACCCACAGTCTTAGAGCACAGCCTCTCCGGTCTGGGGCTGGAGGTGTCATCACCTCTAATTTGCCATTGTTTGGGGGAAGTTGTCATTTACAATGGCTTTAATTTCATTAAGCAATTGTGGGTTTTTGACCATACCTTCATTTTCAAATGACATGACTTCTCTTATTCTTCATTTTGAGTTATAATGTTTCCCATCAAACATCCTGAAATATTAAGTTATTTGTTGGTTTTCCTGTGATGGTATTTGTGCTTCTTCATAATTATCAGATGAGACTGTTCAGATAAAAAAAAAAAAAAAAAAAAAAAACGGTCAATAGTTGACACATGGAGGTTTATTTTTTTATATTAATTTATTTCTTTTTTATTTTTATTTTACATATCCATCCTATTTTCCTCTCCCTCCATCCTCCCTCCCTCTTTCCCTCTCTCCCACCCTCTCATGCTCCCCCGACCACCCTCCCCTTCCATCCCTGCCCCCACTCCACATGTAGGGTGATGCCCTCCAGGAGGGCTCATCTAAATCTGTCAAGTCATTTGGAGTATGGGCTAGGACTTCTCTCCTCTCTCTAGGTTAAGGCAGTATCCCTCCATGAGGGATGTGCCCTCAAAGTCCTTTTGTGCACCAGGGATACATCCTGGCTCCACTGTCTGAGGTCCCTTAGACTGCTCAGTCCTTCTAGCTGAGATCCATATTCAGGGGGGCCTGAGTCAGTCCCATGCTGGATCCCCAGCTATCAGTCTGGGGGCCCGTTAGCTCCTCCTTCTTCAGGTCAGCTGTCTCTATGTGTTTCTGCAGCCTGGTCTTGTCCTCTCCCTCTGCATCTGGATTCCAGTTCCACTCTGTGTTTAGTTGTGGGTGTTTGCTTCTGTTTCCATCAGCTACTAGATGAGGGCTCCAGACACATGGAGGTTTATTTAACTTTTATTAGCTTTTATTGAAAAATAATTGATTAATACACTAATCTTACTTTGATTGAAGCACAATCACTTAAAACTCTTTTGTTTTTTGGGCTGGCAAGATGACTTAGCAGGTAAAGATGCTTGCCACCAAGGCTGATAACCTAAGTTTGATTGACAGATTATATAAATGCATGCATACACAGTCTCGCAAGCGCTCGCTCACACACACACACACACACACAAATAAATGTTTTTGTACTTACTTTGTGTGTGTATATGTGTGTGGTGTGCACATACCTCAGTGTTTGTGTGGAGGTCAGAGGACAACTATTGGGAGTTGGTCCTTTCCTTCCACTCTGTGGGTTTTGGGGGTTGAACTGAGGACATCAGACTTAACTGCAAGAGCCTTTACCCTCCAAGCCAGCTTACTTGTCCCAACCTCCACTTTAAAATGGTGACTTTGGAGAAAGCCACACCTACTTGAGTCCCTTTCTCTCTCTCTCTCTCTTTCTCTCCCCCTCCCCTGCCTGCCCCATGTGAGTGTTCACATGTGTGTGCAATTACAATTGTATGTGTATGTATACACATGCATGCATAGATATGGAGTTGGTGCCACGTGTCTTCCTCAATTTTCTATCTTATTTTTTGAGACTGGGTCTTTCATATACCAATTCTGCTATTCTGCTAGGCTAGATGGCCATTGAGTTCCCAAGCAAGGATCCTTCTGTTTCAGCCCAAGCACCTAGAACACAGGCAGGAGTGAGTGCCAGGCTCTTTTTTTTTTTTTTTTAATGGTTCTGGAGATGAGATCAGACTTAGTTCCTCACACTTGATGGTGTAATCTCTTTATCAGTAGAAACATCTCCCTAGCTTTGAGAAATGGTACTTCTATGCTAAAAAGTTACTTCCAGACGCCCCTATATTCCAAAACTCTGCACCCAGAAGACAAGGGCTCCAATTTATAATGGTGATAAATCCAAAAGCAACAAAAGCAAGTGTCTTATTTGCATACAAATAGGATGCTAACCAGCAGATGTTGATAAGCCTTATAAGAATCAGGATGGGCTGTTAGGGCCTTCCTACAGAGGTGGCTAGACAATGTGAGCCAGGCAGGAGGAGTTAGATTAAGAAGAGGTAGACAGCCATTAGTTATCAGTGGCCCCCAGTGTACGCTTCCTCTGGCTTCTGAGAGCTGAGCAGTTGAGCCCTTATCTCTCCAGACCTGGAGTTTGGAGTCATTGTCTACTAGAGCAGAGGGATTACAAATAATGTGAAGGTCTGATGGAGGCAGTATATTGGCAGTCACATGAGAATGGACAGTTGGCAGTGGAAGCCGGTAGGCTGAGGTAGATGGAATGTATCTGGACCACAAGCAGATTACTAAGGTCACCTTGGGAAATTTTCTTAGTCATCTTTGTAAGTGAGGTGTAATTTTGTGATATTACAATCTGGATGTATATATTAAATAGTACATATATCCTTTTGTCTAAAAACAATCCCTATCATTATAGTGGAAGGAATCTTGTTATCTATTTGTCCTGTGGCTTGACATTTAGTTTCTTTCCATTATAAACCTTCAAATGATTATTAAGATGCATTGCTTAAGAAAGTAGCATTGTTGTACAAAACATGTTTCATATTTAATTGTATTCAAGTTACTTGACTGGAAGTTTAAAGCACACTTAAGAAGTAGAGAGAATGAATCTCGTGTTCCCATCACCATCTTCAGAAAGTTTCAACACCAGTTTAGCGTGCTGCATCCAGTTCCTCTGTGTAAGCATTTTGAAGGAAATCCTGAATGTTATCTATGGCTGTTTTGTTATGGGGTTCTAAAGAACAAAGGCCCTTGCCTGAAAATCCTGTCACTGTCATTGTTGGAGCTAAAAAGTGAGCACTAGTTAGTTCTTCCACAATGCCAAATGCTTTGTCTCTTTACCTTCCTCTGCCTCGCACCCTTGAATCAGTATTCTATCAGTCTCATAGACTGTGATTGGTATCTCTTTCTCTCTATGAGTCTCTGTGTGGGTTATTTGTGTGTGTGTGTGTGTGTGTGTGTGTGTGTGTGTGTGTGTGTGTGTGTGTGTGTTCCTCCTCATTGCTATATGCATCCCCAAAGCACTTAGCATCTTCTTTTCTTCCTCTTGCCCCTTGTAAATATCTAATTAGATCTAGGCTCTTTTTTTTTTCTGTTTTTTAAAATTTATTTTCCTTATTTTACATATTGATTCCAGTTCCCTCTCCCTCCTTCCCTCCCTCCCTCTCTTCCAATCTCCCATGACCCCCCCACCCCTCCATCCCCCTCCCTCCACTTGTAGGGTGATGCCTTCCAGGAGGGGTCATCTAAATCTGTCAAGTCATTTGGAGTAGGGACTAGGCCCTCCCTCCTGCCTCTAGGCTAAGGGAGTATCTCTCCATGGGGAATGTGTTCCCAAAGTCCTTTTAGATCTAGGTTCTTGATCAGCTTCCTGTCCTTCCAGCTTCAAGCCTTCTTGACTTTCCTCTCAAGTTGGGTGATGTCGTGAGATTGAAAAGAGCTTAAGTTAGGTATACATACTGCTTAATCAGACATGATGGCTAGTCTGCTGAGGTAGGAGACATGAAAATTGCAAGGAATGAGCAAAAACTTTTAAGTAGAACATGGTAACCATATATGTTGGTTAGGTTTAATTGTCAGTGAGGAATTATCTAAATCAGGTTGGCCTGTGGACTTGTCTGTGGGGGTTATCTTAATTGTTGATGATCTAGGAAAACTCAGCCCTTTGTGGGTGACACTATTGCCTGGAAATAAATAGAGGCGAAAACTAGCTAAGAATAAGCAAGCAAGGACCTATGTGGTTATTGTCTCTGTTTTTGATTTCAGATTTGATGCATTGACTTGTCCACAGCAATAGACTGTAACATGGAATTGTCTAACACCCTTCCCTCTTCTATGTTGCTTTTGTTTGCCAACTACAGATTTTCTGGTATAAGCCTATGGTTTCTAGGTGCTTTGGAGACTGAAGCAAGAGGGTCACAGGTTCAAGATCTACTTTGGCTAGTTAGGTCAAGGCCAGCCTGACTCACTTAGCTATTTATTACCTGTTTCAAAATAAAAAGGAATATGATTGTTGAGGACAAAGCTCAGTGGTACAGCTCTTGCCAGACATGTGTGAGGTTTAATACCCAGGAGCTTTTAAATGCATCTACACACACACACACACATACACACACACAGAACATGGTGTTTTTTTTTTAACCAAATACTAAGTACATTTGCTTACTTAAATTTATGAATACATATATATCTGTGTACCACATGTGTTTCTGGTACCTGTGGGGGTCAGAAAAAGAATCCCCTTGGAACTGGAGTTACAGTTGTGAGCCACCAAATGGGTGCCAGACATTGAATTCAGAGTTTCTAAAAGCCAGTTGCTTAAAAAGCTGAGGCATCTCTCCAGCTCCACATTCACTAAACATTTATATTTTCTGTGTAAAAAGTGTTCTGCACACAGAGAAACCCTATCTTGAAAGACAAAAACAGTTTTGCAAATATGTATTCTACATACATGCAGAGGCCAGAAGGTGTGGAGAGGTCCCCTGGAACTGGAGTTAAAGACCTTGTGAGCCAGCCGGTAGGTGTGGAACTAAACCAAGGTCTTCTTTAAAGGAGCAAGCTCTCTTAACTGCTGAGTCATCTCTGCAACCCTAATATACACTTTTTTTTTTAATCACCATGGTTTCTAGAACTTTTACAAATCTTTATAAACAGAAAGTGTACCTATTACATATAACTCCCGATTGGTTCCTCTCCTAGACTGGCAACCAATATTACTGCTCCTATTCCATTTTTTGATTAGTTTTTTTTAATAAAAGGGTTCATTGTGGACTGAGATAGCTTCTGTATGTTCAAGTCTTCTTGTTTATGTGTGATTGAGTTTACTGAAGAGAAAGGTAACAGAAAATGGGGTTGCATAAAGAAGAGTTAGACATAGAATTGTGGGCCTTCTATCCACAGGTCTTAGCAGCCCTGCCATGGATCTGCCCGGTTCTTTCGAAACAAGAAGTTAATCTTTCGAGCCATTTCCATGTTGTAGATCCTCCGACATGTCTCATAGCTTTCCCGCTGGCGGCGGCGGCAGAGCTTCTCGTAGTAGCGCCTTCGCTTTATGACTTCAGTAAGCCCATCAGTAGTGAGGATTCTGGTCTGAGTCCTGTATGCACCTTCCACGTTCCCCTCCTGAACCATCACAGTCCTGGCAATGAACTTCAGGTGTTTAGCCATGGCCTTGTTTCCAAATCTTCATTCTTCAGGACCTACAGAACCTACGGTCTCCGCTCTCAGAACTCCGGGCAGAACATGGTGTTTTAAATTGAACACAGTACAAATGAATGCTTAAAGGGTAAAATTACCCAATACTCATTGTTCATCAATGGATCACATAAGACTATAATAGAGCTTAATAATAATCATACCTTAGTGACATTGTAGCTGTCACAGTGTGGTACAAAAACATATCATTAGGTGGTAATGGTGATTAGTATAAAAAACCCAGTCTTATAAAAGAACAAACACAACTATGTGTAGTACTTGCAATGAATGACTACATTATTATCCCATCTACTAGTACTATGTTTTATCATTACTTTATAATGTGTTCTGACATATAGGTGTACTGGATAGGGATGTGACTTAGTTATATATAGAATGCTTGTCTAGCATCAGCAATGCCTTAGTTATTCTTAATTTTTAAAATATTTTTGATATTATAATATAATTATATCATTCACCCATTCCTTTTTCTCCCTCCAAAGCCTCCCATGTACTGACTCCCAATCCCCTTCTCTTTTTAAAATTCATGGTCTTTTTCCCTTTAATTGTTACATATGCACATAGTTGTATAATTTTAAATACACAAACACAACCTGTTCAATCATATGTTACTTGTATGTATGTATTTTCAGGGTTATCCAGTATGGTATTGGGTAATAATTGGCATGCTGTTCCTGGGGAAGTGTGTTTCTTCTACTCTCAGAATTCCTTGGTTGCCTGTAGTTTTTTGTCTAGGGTAAGGTATGGTAGTACTCAGTGTGTTCTATCCAGTTCATTCATTCCAGGGCTCCACCTGTGGGTGTGACCCACATTTAGGATGGGGCTTCAATCTTCAGCTAAACCTTTCTTGAAATGCTCTCAGATACATCCAGCAGTGTGCTTCCTAGGGAATTATAATCCAGTCAAGTTGACAAGGAAGATTAACCACTCTATTTAGATGAAGAGTATGGCTTCCTGATTCCAAGTTTGAAGACAGAGATATGTGGTGATGCCATATAATTCACAGTTTATTGTGGTCTGATCACTCACCGGCTCTAGTGACCTGATCTGGGCTGTTCATGTGACCATGATGTTGGAAGCCTCTCCCCGGTGGTGCCACTGTATTGAGACTTTGGGCCCATGAATGTACAATACCCCTGCTCATTCTTTCAATGTTTCCATTTTATGACTAGCAACCAGAATCAGGCCATGTTGGTGTGCAGCCAGCACTGTGGAATTGGATTGATGATCCTGAATGGGTTTCCCAGTTAAATTTTGTTTGATATTATTTTAATGAATACTAACTAAACTTAATCATTGAGTTAAGTACATTGGCGAGGAAAGGATAGGGGCTTAGATGACTGGAAGGAAAACCAGGAACCATGGTCTCAGTGAATAGCTTGGGTTATCTCATGCAGTGATGAGATGAGATCTAGGTTTGTTTTACACAACAACTGCATTTATCACGTAGTCCCTCTTGTCTGATGTGGTAAATGTGAGTGGTAAGATGGCTAATCCTATTTTTTGTTTTTGTTTTTTTGTTTGTTTTTGTTTTGTTTGTTTGTTTTAAAGAATATTGGCCACAAAGGGAGCGGCACTATTAGGAGGTATGGCTTTTTCGGAGTAGGTATGGCCCTTTTGGAGGAAGTGTGTCGCTGTGGGGGTGGACTTTGAAGTCTTATATATGCTCGAACCACGCCTCGTATTTCAGACTACTTCCTGTCATCCCTGTTCTACTCTGAGCCACTTCTGCAGCACGGTATCGGCCTGCCTGCGTGCCACCATGTTCCACCATGTTGTTAATAGGCTAAACCCGTGAAACCGTTAGCCACCCAATTAAATGTTTTCCTGTAAAAGAGTTGTCATGCCTTGACTAGTAAGAGCACAGGGACCTCAGTCGTAAAGCTGGGGAGGCAGCATTTGACTGATCCAAGCCCTCTGAATGTGGGTGCCAGATAGCAGGCCTGGGCAGTCTATGGGACCTCTAACAGTGGAACCAGTGTTTATCCCTAGTGCACAAATGGACTCCGGGAGCCCTTTCCCTACAGAGGGATATTATTTCAGCCAAGTCCTCCCCCAACTGATCTGACAGACTTTGATAATCCCCCCATGGAAGGCTTCATTATCCTTGGGGAGTGGGTAGGGGGTGAGTTGGGGGGGTCAGTGGAGGCATGGGGGGATGGGAGGGAGAGGGAACATGGGGGACTGATATATAAAATAAGATTGTTTCTAAATAAAAAAAAAAAATTTATGCTCGTGGTGTCTCTCCACAGTAATAGAAACCCTAAGACAGTTGTTAACTTGGAACACCTGGAAAGAGGGGACCTCAGTTAAATGACTGGCTCCATCAGATTGACCTGTGGCATGTCTGTGAGGGCATTTTATTGATTATTAATTCATGTCATGTGCCAAGCCCATTGTGAGAGTACCATCTTTAGATATGTGGGCCTGAACTGTATGAGGAATGTAGCTGAATGTGAGCCAGTAAGCCTCCATGCTTTCTGCTTCAAGCTCCTGACTTGAGTTCCCACCTTGATTTCCCTCAACCACAAAAAGAAAGAGAAGAGAGAGAGAGAGAGAGAGAGAGAGAGAGAGAGAGAGAGAGAGAGAGAGAGAGAGAAGAATTTCCTCCCACATCACAAAGCACATAACCAAACTGGAATAGGTGGTTTCTAGGCACTGCTGTGAATTCCCTGAGAGAAAAAGGCTGCACACTATTGGTGGTAGTTGTCAGGATCTTTATTGTATTCTAAAGAATAGCTATCGTGGGTGTGACATATGCTATGTAGTAAGAAACTTAGGTCCCAGTTCAAACAGAGCAAGGATTTAGCCTCACCAAGGTGGGTGGAATGCAGATGAAATAGCCTCCAAGAACTTGTTTAGGACAAAGGTCTGTGTGGAGACCAGTCATCAGGGGAAGCCTCTTCCCTTGAATGTAGGCTGGTTCCTTTCTACAAGTCATGCATCTTTCTGGGTAAGACTGTGACACACTTATTTCATCTTTATGCCACATTCTGACCTGTTTACAAGTCAAAACATGAGTAAAGGCCAAGAAATAGCACAGAAGGGAACTGAGAATGGATTTATCCTCCAGAACAATGAAAACAGAACACTAACATAATTCTTGGTGAAAATTAATGCTTACGTCTTTGTCCTTAAGCTGTTCCACACAAAGCAAGTAAGTGTCTTTGAGAACTTTTCAGAGGATAATAACTAGAGTAGAGACTGGACATGTGAGTGAGGCACTTACCTTGACCTCAAAATTTAAGGGGGGTTATCAATAAGTTCATTAATTAAGGTAAGTAATATTTAGATGCTGTCTTAGTTACTGTTATTTTGCTGTGAAGACACACCATGGCCAAGGCAACTCTGATAAAAGAAAATATCTAACTAGGAGCTTGTTTACAGTTTCAGAGTTTGAATGTAATGAGCCCTATAATTTCACAGGGAGTGGCACTATTGGAGATGTGGCTTTGTGGGAGTGGGTATAGCCTTGTTGAAGGAAGTGTGTCCTATGCTCAGGATATCACCCAGTGTTTCAGTTGACTTCCTGTTACCTGCAAGATGTAGGACTCTCATTTACTTCTCCAGCAACAACACATCTGCCTGCATGCTGCCATGCTCCCCACCATGATGATAATGGACTGAACCTCTGAAAGTATTAGAGGTCCCCTTCAATGAAATGTTTTCTTTATAAGAGTTGCTATGGTCATGGTATTTCTTCACAGCAAGAGAAACTCTAAGACAATGTGACTGAACCTTGAGTCACTGAAAAGGATCGAACCTCAATTGAGAGAATGTCTCCATAAGATACAGGTATAAGGCATTTCTTAATTAATGATTGATGAAGGAGGACACAGCCCATTATAGGTGATGCCATCTCTGGCCTTGTGGTTCTGGGTTCTATAAGGAAGCAAACTTAGCAAGCTGTGAAGAGCAAGCCAGTAAGCAGCACTTCTCCACGGCTTATGTGTCAGCTCCTGCCTCGAGGTTCCTTCAGTGATAGACTGATACCTAGAAACATAAGCTGAACTAAACCATTTTCTACCCAAGTTACTTTGGTCATGGACACACACTCTGATAATACCATCATTTGGGAGACTAGGGAGTAAACATAAACATTTTGGGAAAGACACATGGAACTCATAATGCCTATTAAATCAAATGAAGTATCCCCTATCATCATTTTCTCTCTCCTCTCTTTTTGTCTTTTTATCCTTGAGATTAAAAAAATTTTTAGTCAAGTACAGAAGCGTCAAAAATGCTGCGCAGGGCAACTAGTAAAATCAGGATTTGAACCCAGGTCCTCTGACACTAGAGTCTGCACTTTTATTCCCTTGATACCTTTATTCTAAAACAATAATTTCACAAGAGAGATTGAACCAACAATGACAGACAGAAAAAAGTGATAACTTAGGGGCAGCAGAGACTTCCCTCAGTTGCATTTCCACACACGTAGACATGAAACACTCCATGGAAATGCGGAAAAGAGTAGTGATGGGGCCCTTCTCCACTTTGTGTCAGTTCGTAGCTCTCTTGTTGGATGGACCTTAGGTGACCTCTGTCTTTAAAGTCATGGTGTGTACAAAAGGGAAGCTTTGAGGAAGGCAGGGAAGAGGCAGCCATAGACTATATTCCTCGGAGAATGAAGGACTTCAGGGATAAAGGGATCAAGGTTAGTAGTCCCTCTCCCCAACCAAATCACCAGGTAACTGAAAGCTAGGGAGAGGTGAATGACTGAGTGGAGTATGTGAGCATGAGTGGAAGGGTGACAAAGCCCCCATTTTTTCTCTGTCACATCAGTTTGTAGAAATGTCAAGTTCTGTGGTGTCTTGTATAGTTTTCATGAGTGACAAAGAGTGTTCCACTTCTAACAGTGCATTTGCCTGTGACCTCTGTCTGTGAATACTCCCTGTTTTCTCTTTCTGCTGACTCAACATGTCCCACATCATTTGCCCTGTGTTCTGGTGTCTTCTGGACATCCGGATGGCCTTGTCCAAGGTTGCATCATG